TTTCGGAGCTCCGCGCGGATGCCCCTGGCGCGCTCCGCGCCCCAGGAAGGGGGGTCCAGCGCCGATCCGATCATTTTTCGGAGCTCCGCGCGGATGTCCCTGGCGCGCTACGCGCCCCAGGAGGGGAGTGCAGCGCCGATCCAACAACCTTTCGGAGCTCCGCGCGGATGTCCCTGGCGCGCTCGAGGGGGGTGCAGCGCCGATCCAGGAAATCCGCGTGGACCGCCGAGGGCTGGTGTCTGTGCAGCTGTCTTCTCTCTCCAGGACTGCCACCTGGCCTTCGGCGGAGGCAGCGACAGGCCCGCGGAGGACCTGGCCGCCTGGTGCAGGGAGCTGCGGGACCAGCAGATCGAGTCGCTCGCGGCAGTCGACGACGAGATGATGGAGGCGTTCGTGGAGTTCGACGGCGACGTGCCGCGGGTCGTCATCGAGGGCGCCCTGCAGCGCGCCGTCGCCGCCGGCAAAGTGATGCCGCTGGTGGCCGGCAGCGCCAAGACCGGCATCGGCATCGAGGCGCTGCAGGAGGTGGTCCACGAGTTCATCCCCCCCGGGGACGGGAAGGCTCGCGCGACGAGAGCTGTGCAGAGAAGAGGAGGAGGAGGAGGAGGAGGAGGAGGAGGAGGAGGAGGAGGGGAGAGGGAGGGGGAGGAGGGGGGAAGGAGGAGGAGGAGGGGGAGGGGGAGGGAGGAGGGGAGGAGGGAGGCGGAGCGGGAGGCGAGGAGGAGAGGGGGAGGGGGGAGGAGGAGGAGGAGGAGGAGGAGGAGGAGGGAGGAGGAGGAGGGGAGGAGCGAGGAGGAGGAGGAGGAGGAGGAGGAGGAGGAGGAGGGGGAGGAGGGATGGAGGAGGAGGAAGGAGGAGGTGAGGAGGAGGAGGAGGAGGAGGAGGAGGAGAGGGCGGAGAGGAGGAGGAGGATGGAGGAGGAGGAGGAGGAGGAGGAGGAGGAGGAGGAGAGGAGGAGGAGGGGGAGGAGGAGGAGGAGGAGGAGGGGAAGGGAGCGAGGGAAGGGGGAAGGGGGAAGGGGGGGGCAAGGGGGAAGGGAAGGGGGAAGCGGGAAGGGGGAAGGGGAAGGGTGAGGAGGAGGAGGAGGGGGAGGAGGAGGAGGAGGGGGAGGAGGAGGGGGAGGAGGGAGAGGAGGAGGAGGGGGAGGGGGACAAGCTAGGTGCGCTCGCGTCATATCTGACATCCTACCCCTCCCTCCCATCCCTTACCATGGCGCAGATCCCCTCTCTACTCGCTCAGTCGGATGTCGAGCAGGGCAATGATGGGTACGCGATGCATTGTAGAGCACGGCATGGCATGGCGTAGAAGAGCACCGCAAAGCGTAGCATCAACCTAGCATTGCAGTGCATGCCGTGGCATTGCACGGGAAATGACGCCAGCGCTGCAGCGGGAGCAGGAGTCGAAACGAGCGGAAGCGCGGAAACGAGGCCAGCGCTGCAGCGGGAGCACGATTCGGAACGAGCAGAAGCACGGAAATGAGGCCAGCGCTGCAGCGGGAGCACGATTCGGAACGAGCGGGGCCCGAAAATGAGGCCGGCGCCTCAGCGAGAGCAGCATTTTGAAAAAAATGCAGGCGAAAACCCAACTCCGGGGAAACTAAAAAAAGAGTACGCGGGGGGGGGCTCGGACACTCCCAGGCCGTCATCAGGGAAAGAGGGACAGTAGTATTCATATTGAGTAATTGTGGAGGAGGAGGAGGAGGAGGAGAAGGAAGGAGGAGGAGGAGGAGGAGGAGGAGGAGGAGGAGGGGGAGGAGGGAGGGGGGAGGGTTGGAGGGGAGGGGGAGGGGGAGGGGGAAGGGGAGGGGGAGGGGAGGGGGAGGAGGGGACGCGGGGACGGGGGACGGGGACGGGGACGGGGACGGGGACGGGGAGGAGGGACGGGGAGGGGGAGGGGGAGGGGAGGGGAGGGGAGGGGGAGGGGAGGGAAGGGGGAGGGGGAGGAGGAGGAGGATTCAGGAGGAGGAGGACGGGAGGCGGAGAGGAGGAGGAGGAGTGAGGACGAGAGGACGAGGACGAGGACGAGGACGAGGACGAGGGAGAGGAGGAGGCAGGAGGAGGAGGAGGAGGAGAGGCGGAGGCGGAGGCGGAGGAGGAGGAGGAGGAGGGGCGGAGGAGGGAGGAGGAGGAGGGGGAGGAGGAGGGAGGAGGAGGAGGAGGAGGAGGAGGAGGAGGAGGAGGGAGGGGAGGAGGAGGAGGAGGAGGAGGAGGAGGAGGAGGAGGAGGAGGGGTGCCATGCCCCGAGGGCCCCAGGATGGGTGCGCACGCCTCCCTGGCCCAGCCCGGAGGGCGTGTGCACCGATCCTGGGCTCCAGAGGAAACTTGGCCAGGGTCGGCGGTTCTGCCAAGGCTCGAAGAAGAAACAGCGCCAGAAACATAAACTTTTTCCCCCGCGGATTTATTTGATCCGCGCTGGGCCCCCCCAGCGGCGCCTCCGGCGCCGCCCCTGGCGCGCGGAGCGCGCCAGGGAGGGGGTTCCAGCGCAGATCCAAGAAATCCGCGCGGAGCGCCAAAAGTTTATGTTTATAGCGTCTTTTCTTCTTCAACAGGCGCTGGTGGAGAGCCTGGGCGTGAGCCTGTTCGGCGGCGTGTTCTTCGACACCGTCCCGCCCTTCGTCGGCTGGGCCTTCGCCGTGCGGGCGCCGGCGCACGGTGGCGAGCGGCACGTCGAGGTGCGCATTCTGGACGGGACGCTGAGCAGGGGCGACGAGGTGAAGTTCGCAGGGAGTTCGCATAAGGAGGCTCCCAGAGAGAGAGAGAGAGCGAGAGCACCGGTGCGCCACCACCTCGCCTGGCCACTGCCATCCTGGGTCCCGCGGCGGTGTGCGGACCCTCCTGGCCTCGGTAGGAGTCCGTACGGTAGGTTCGTATCGTGCCGATGCGGTCGCGGTGGCGAACTGGCGTGGGCGTGCGAGGTTTGGGCGCCGCCGGCAGCCCAAAATCGTGCAAGATGCGAGGATCTGGCGATCGAGAGACCGCCGATCGTGAAAAAAGCTTGGATGGACGAGCCGCGCGGTGTCAGAGAAGCCAGCAGCGAGGTCGTCACGACGCGCACGAGCCTGCCGTGTACGTAGGGTACTCCAGATTTCGTAATAAAAGGGAGGGGGTCTGGACCCTCCAAGACAAGCCATTTCAGACCTCCCCGTGGGAGAACCCTCCAAAACATCGTCCCCAGACCCCCCAGGCCCTCCAAGATAGCCTGGAAGAGACCCCCCCCCGAAATGAGACCCCCCTCCCTTTATTACGAAATCTGGAGTAATTATGCGCAGCGCCTGGGCCGAGGACGGCCGTGGCCGTGGCCACGCAGGGTGGTGATGTGAACAGTCTGGCCGCTGAAGTGGGAACCCTGTTCATTGGCGAGGGGCTCAGTGTTCATCAAGCATTGTTTTGCGTGCTGTCTCAGGTCTTCCTCGGCTTGTCTACAGTCCACCCGCATGGTAAGGAGGAGCGAAATTCCAAGGCTACCCTTGACATCCTTGTCCCTTCGGCCCATCCTTGGTCACTTTCGCTGGCCAGCATCGTCCAGAAAACGTCAACATGGCCCTCCAAGGCCCTTGCATCCTTACCGCGCATCCTGATTATACGGGCTGACTGTATGGGAGATCGGAGCTTGACTTATGCAAACGAGGGGCCCCGTTCCTTATCAGGGGTTCCTTGTGGCCTGCAAGTGCCTGCCGTGCCAGGCCTTCACCATCCCGAAGGTCCTGATCCACGGGGCCCGGGGCGAGCTGGTGGAGTGCCCCACGGCCGGGCCAGGCGACCTGGTGGTGCTGCCCGCGCCTGGCTGGCTGGACCACAAGGCCCTCGGCGCCACAAGGCATTTTTGCCATCGCTCGGGCGCGTGCATTCTTTCCCCGGCGAGGACCATCGAGGAGCATGTGAGGTCAAGTTCTGCAAAGAAATGCACGCACGAAGCCGCAACGTGCACGAGGAATGGACGTCCGAGCGATGGCGAGACAAGGAATCCTTGGCATCGCTCGTACGCGTGCATTTTTCTCGGCGAGGACCATCGAGGAGCATTCGAGGTCATCTTGCGAAACAACTGCACGAGGAGTGGACGTCCGAGCGATTGCGAGACAGGGAGCCACTTCTTTACACGCCACAATCAGACAATCAAACTGCAATCCGCCACGTAAAAGGAATGTGATGGAAGCTGTGTGCGCTTCGCCACACAAGGAATCACAATGCCTTCCGCCGCGGAGAGAATCCCGATGTAATCGAAGAAACGACGACGGCATAGACATGCATTGTCGACGATCCTTTGCGGACCGTCGAAAGTTTATGCTGTGTTTAGGCAGTTTTTTCTCCTCCATGTAATCCTCCGCAAAGAGTCAGCGAGCGAAGAACGGTATAAGATAAACTTTCCGCCGTCGGGGACACCTGCCCCTGGGCGGCTGGAACGTTTATACCCCCACGGTGCCACCGTACGGGTATAAACTTTCCAGCCGCCCAGGGACCGGCGACCCCGACAGCGAAACAGTTTATTTTACACCGTTCTTCGCCCGATGTAATCGAAGAAACGACGACGGCATAAACATGCATTGTCGACGATCCTTGCGTACCGTCGACAGTTGATGTTGTGTTTAGGCAATTTTTTTTTCTTCCTCCATGCAATCCTCCGCAAAGAGGCGCTTGGCGCCCACGGCCTGACGCTGTGCGATGCCCACCGCCCTGTCGGCACCTCCCCGGCGATCCTGCCGCTGGGCGAGGCCGGCGCCGCCGCGGAGGCGGCCGGGTGCAGCTTCGCGCTGCAGCTGGAGGGCCTGGACAAGAAGGAGCAGAGGCGGCTCCTTGATGCGCTGGAGGCCAGTGGCGTTCTTCTTCCTCCTCCTCCGCCTCCTCCTCCTCCTCCGCCTCCTCCTCCTCCGCCTCTTCCTCCTCCTCCTCCTCCTCCCCCTCCCCCTCCTCCCCCTCCCCCTCCTCCTCCACGCGAGCCTCGACGCGAGGCCTCAGACCCTTCGCAAGAGGAGGAAAAGCAGGGAAGGGGGCGGGGGAAGGGGAGGGAGCAGGGAAGGGGGACCTTGAGGAGGAGCAGGAGGGGGAGGAGGAGGAGGAGGAGGAGGAGGAGGAGAAGGAGGAGGAGGCGCTGGAGGCCAGGAGCTCGCGCGCGGCGAACATAGAGTCGGGGCGCTGAAGAAGGAGCCCTTTTCGTTGGGGAGGGGCTCGGTGTTCGTTGATGTTTGAACAGTTTGCCTCGGGTCTTCCTGAGGTTTTCCACGGGACATCGATGTTTCATGTATGGAAAAAACGGGGCCTCGTTCCTTTTTTAGGGGTTCTTAGGTCAACGCCCCGACTGTACCCGTATAGCCGCGCCCTCGTGGTCTGGCTTCTGGGGCGCGCTCCTGCGGATGCGCGGTCGCGCGGGCACGCTCCGCGCGGGGGGCAGCCGCGAGAGCGCGCACCGCATCCGCGGGTTCGCGGCCCGGGTGCCTCGCCCGCGAGGCCGCGGAAATACGGACAAGCTCGACTGGACGCAAGAGTGCGTTTTCGCCGGAGTGACCTTTGGTGCGGGCACAGATGGTTGGAGGGTGAAAGAGGGGGTCTGCAACAGGGGGTCTTCAATGGGGGCTGAATGGCCCATGTATGCTCAATGTATCGCTCATGTGTGTGAACGGGTACGATTGGCATCCAATGTTGGCGGTCATTGAGGGCCAGTCGTTCGTGCCCGCGCGTTGCCGGGACCCTGCGGCCGACCCCCACTTTCACCCTCCAAGATGGGTCCCCAGATGGCTGAAAATGCAGCGGCAGCAGCGGCTTGCGCGCCCAGGTTTGGCCCCCCCGGGGCCCCGCGGCCCCCCAAAAGCCGCACACCAAGGGTCATTCTTGCCCAAGGTCACTCCTGCTTGTAGCCGATAAGTGTTTCCCAAGTTTCCGCCCACGACGAGCGAGAGAGGTCCGGGGGCGTCGAGAAGGGCGATGCGCCGCGTTGGGGGGAGACAGCGACGCCCGGTCGCCCACTCACCGCCGATGGGGTCGCCGGCACCCCCATTCCGCCCAGGCACGTTCGACCTCGTTCCCTGGGGCCAGCAGCAGATTCATATCGGCGACGTATCGCCGACCCCAAGCCGATGTTCCACCCCCCCCGAACAGGTTTCCCCTCCTTCGGCTCCCCTCAAGGGCGAAGTGGGTCAACCTCGGGAAGTGGCTCCTCCTTCTCTTCCTCCTCCTCCTCCTCCTTCTCCTTTTTTTTGACTTGACCAGACCTGAGTGCTACGACCGTGGCGTTCTTCTTCCTCCTCCTCCCCCTCCTCCTCCCCCTCCTCCTCCTCCTCCTCCTCCTCCTCCTCCTCCTCCTCCTCCTCCTCCTCCTCCACGCGAGCCTCGACGCGACGCCATTCGCCAGGAGGGCTCTCTGATGCAGGGTGGTGGAGGCTCACTGCACTGCGTGGGCGAGAGCTCCCGCAGGCTCCTGCGGGGCTGGGCGTGCCTCACCCCTGGCACTGACGCTGGTAGCGCTCGCCGGGGAGGGCACTCGGGCTTCACGGTGCGAACGTGCGCGTCCTGTGGACGTGGGGGCGCTGGGAAGCAGCTAGGAAGGGGGGGATCGAACCCGGGGGGGGGGGCAGGGGGAGGGGGGAGTCGAACAGGGGGGGTTACGCTGCATCTTCGAGGGACCTCGCCTGTCCCCCAAGTGTCTTTTCTTGTGCCCGACGCGGGCTCGATGCGGCCTCGACGTGGATTTGGCGTGGTTTCGACGCGGATTCGGCACGGATTCGACGCGGATCCGACGAGGCCGACATGGATTCGACACGGATTCGACACGGATAGGGCCGCGACAGGGCAGACAAGGCCCCCCGAGGATGTAACATAAGGGGGGAGGCCCCCCTTAATTTGCAAGGGGGGGGTGTTCGAACTGGGGGGGAGGCCCCCTCTTGTCCAGGGGTGGGTGGGTCACACGGGGGGGGGGTGTTCCGTCCTGGAGTTAGGCGGCCGCACGGCGCTCGCCGCGCTGACGCGACGCTCAGGGTGTGCCTCGAGCGCGAGACGCTCGCCATGAGCGCGCGGGTGGCCGAGTGTCGTCAGAGCGTGAATTACCTACCCCGCTTTCTCTTCCAGGCAAGACCAAGTCATACCACGCGACTCCCCGTCGAGCGGCCTGACCAGTGCGGGCCGTAGTTTAGCATCGCTTGGTAGCTCTTGGAAGCGAGGGTGGTCAAAAGCAAGGTAGGTTCGTTTGCCCCCTATGTCTGGGCATTGCACACGGCGCGAAACGCGATCGCTCGGCGGCCCCTCCAGCCAGAGGGGAGGAAGATCGCTATTGGCGCGGCCTTGCTCCACCACCATGGGAACGCCGCGAGCGAGCATCGGCGCCACGTTGCGTGGCGCGCGTGGACGACGTGGGATCCTGATTGCTCCACGCCCGCGCCCGCGCGCGGGTGGCATCGTTCATCGCGACGAGCTGCAGGGGCTGTTCCGCCAGCGGGTACGGCATCTCTGCAAGCTCGCCGCCCAGCCCGCATGCGCGGGGGGTCGCCTAGAGCCTCTGCGGCTGCGTCTTGCTGGTGCGGGGGTTGTACGATTCGAGGGAAGAAGCATGGTGACCATGACCAACATGATTACCAGCCTGGAACATATCCCTATCCCTATGCTGGGCATCTCCTCATCACGATGCCAATCTTAGGGATTCCCTTTTTTTTGAGGGCGAATCCCTAAGATTGTCGTCGCCTTTTGGCGTGTCAATCTTAGGGATAGGGATACGTTCGAGGCTGGTAACATGACGCAGGACCTTGTCGACGCCGATCCTCGCTATGGTCCACATCGGCGGCCGCCGCCGATCCGGGCCGACCGCGGCAGAGCGTTGCTCCGCCGGGGCTCTGGCGAGCCCGCGGGAGGCGCGACGCCGCCTGGCGCCTCTCGCGCAGAACGGGCCGTCGCGGCCGCCCTAGATTCGGGGGTGGACAGACCTCCTACCCTGACACGTCGATTGAGGAATTGTCCGTTTTCGGTTTGCGAGAGGGCGTCGGGGCCGTCATTTTTGCGGGTCCGGGTCCGTCGGTTTCGGCCCCAGGCCGTTTTCATTGAGGGGAGGTTTACTAAAGGGAGGTTTGTCCACCGCCGATAGATCGATCTCTCGAACACAAACATAAACTTTTGGCGCTCTGCGCGGATTTCTTGCATCCGCGCTGGGCCCCCCCCCGCGGCGCCTCCGGCGCCGCCCGGCGGTCTGATCTTGCCCAGCGCGGCAGTTTCACCTGGGAGGAGGAGGAGGAGGAGGAGGAGGAGGAGGAGGAGGAGGAGAGGAGGAGGAGGAGGAGGAGGAAGAAGAGGACGAGGGCCGGGGTGCGCGCTCCAAGAAGCCGCGCAGGCGGGGAGGCGCGGAGGCGAAGCAGCGCAGGGAGAACAGAGCTCGGGCAGAGCGCGACGGGTCTTCGTAGAGTTCTCAGCCCTTGCGGTGCAAAGCGGGGCGCCGAGCATCAGAACGAAAGGCTGCAGCTTGAGCTGAAGCTTCAACTGTGGATGCCGCGTGCGAGGCGAGGAAGCGTGTCTTCTGGTTTGCACTGCAGCTTCGCCGTTCCAGCTTCCGCTCTGGAGTCTGCCTGCGAGGCGAGAGCGGCCCGGGGAGGCCCAGGGAGGGTCTGAAGCCTAGGGCGCCAACCGCCATGATCAGAACTACAGTTTAAAAAAAAAAAAAAAAAAAAAAAAAAAAAAAAAAAAAAAAAAAAAATCGCAGGCCTAGAGGTTGACACCAACACCAAGATCGTCGGTGTGCCTCCACCGAGGGAAGACGATCCCGGTGTCGGTGATGGTGGTAATATTCTGGCTCCCAAGGTGACCGAAATATTACCACCACCACCGAAATCTAGGATCATCTTCCCCATGTGGAGGCAACCCCCTGTGCTGGTGTTCTCGCCAATTTCCAGGCCTCCAAGAAGTTCAGTGTTTGTTTGCATTGCAGCTTTGCCGTTCTATCTTCAGCTTCGGATTCCGCGTGCGAGGCTCTCCCCCCCCCAGGCTCGGGCCGGACGAAAGGGGGGGATTGGGAAAGGGGGGGGGGTACGAAATCTGCTGCATGCAGCTGGTTTCGGCCCCACCGAGGGGCCCATTCCTCGACGCATGGCCGCCTCCCGGCGCCGGGAGGCGCCGGGAAAATCAGCTACGCGAGCTGATTCTCAACCCCCCCCTTCGCTATCCCCCCCTTTCGCCCGACCCGAACTTTTCTGTTGGGGGTGGGCAGAACCCCAACAGGGACACGTCGATTCGTGAATTGTGCGTGTTCGGTTCTCGAGAGGGCGCCGTGGCCGTGATTTCCCGGGCCTGCGCCCGCCAGGCTTGGGCTTGAGGTCGTTTTCACGAAACCACGTTTTGCTAAAGGGAGGTCTGTCCATGCCCGGCCCCTTTCCTCCGACCCGACAGGCGCTGCAGCGCGAGGACGACGGCCTCGCCCTCCGGGTCTCCCAGTGCGGCGAGCACGTGCTGTCCTGCACGGGGCCCCTGCACCTCGAGCTGGTGCGGGAGCGGCTCGCCGAGGACCTCCCCCGCGGGGCGGAGGAGGCAGCGGCGGCCGCCAGAGGAGGAGGAGGAGGAGGAGGAGGAGGAGGAGGAGGAGGAGGAGGAGGAGGGAGGAGGAGGAGGAGGAGGTCGGGGAGGAGGAGGAGGAGGAGGCGGAGGAGGAGGAGGAGGAGAGGGAGGGAGGAGGGGGAGAGGGGGAAGAGCAGGAGGAGGAGGAGGAGGAGGAGGAGGAGGAAGAGGAGGAGGAGGAGGAGGAGAGGAGGAGGAGGGGGGGGGGAGGAGGGGGAAGAGGAGGAGGAGGAGGAGGAGGAGGAGGAGGAGGAGGAGGACGAGGAGGAGGAGGAGGAGGAGGAAAAGGAGGACCAGTGCAAGACCTAGAGTCACCAACGATGTTGGAATAAACCCTCCCGCCAAGCTCCCTCTTCATAGGCCCCTCAACGGTTCATTTCCACTGAAGGACCTGCCTCGTTGGAAGACGTTTGAAGACCCTGAAGCATGCCAAAACATTATTCTCGGTATTCCAACGCCACGGATGAACCTGACTGTTGCGTCTTGACGATCCTGAACCGTACCAGAACGCCATTCTTGGGACCTCAACTCCACGAATCATCGTATCATCGTAACTGTTGCGCCATCAAAATCGTGAATCCTTCCAAAACACCATTTCTGGCACGTCGATCATGGGAATCCGTGAAACTCCTGCAATTGTTTAACAAGAATATGCGCGGCGCTAAGGCGAGAGTCATATTTTGAACAGGAACCGCCCTCAAAACGTGAAGCTCTTTTAACTTTTAACACGAATGTGCGTGGCGCTTAGGCGAGAGCCACACTTTGAAAACGACCCGCCCTCAATCCGTGACTTCTCAACATTTAAAAAACGAATGTGCGCGGCGCTCAGGCGAGAGCCACATGTTGAAAACGTCCCGTCCTCAATCCGTGAAACTCTGAACCATGTTTCAAAACGAATGTGCGCGGCGCTAAGGCGAGAGCCACATTTGGAAAACGGCCCGCCCTCAATCCGCGAAGCTCTTGCAACTGTTTACAACGAATGTGCGCGGCGCTAAGGCGAGAGCCACATTTTGAAAACGACCCGCCCTCAATCCGTGAAGCACTCGATATGTTTTAAAACGATTGCACGCGGCGCTAAGGCGAGAGCCTCATTTTGAAAACCACCCGCCCTCAATCCGCGGAACTCTTGCGACTGTTTACAGCGAATGTGCGCGGCGCTAGGGCGAGAACCACATTTGAAAACCACACGTCCGCAATCCGCGGAACTCTTGCACTTTTTTATAGTTTGTTACGCATGTGCGCGGCGCTGAGGCGAGAGCCACATGTTGAAAACCTCCCGCCCTCAACCCGTGAAGCTCTTGCAATTTCTCTGAAAAACGAATCTGCGCGGCGCTAAAGCGAGAGCCTCATTTTGAAAACCACCCGCCCTCAATCCGTGAAGCTCTTGCAAAGTTTAACAACGAAGCTGCGCGGCGCTAGGGCGAGAGCCACATTTCGAAAACCCCACACCCGCAATCCGTGAAACTCTTGCACATTCAAAAAACGAATGTGCGCGGCGCTAAGGCGAGAGCCACATGTTGAAAACCACCCGCCCTCCATCGATGTTGCCGATTCTTAAGGTCCAGGTCATAAATGGGGAGGAAGTCTCAAGCGAAACGCCCGGCCCGCCCTAAACACTGGCCTCGGGGTGCGACAGGGATAAGTTACCTAACAGCGAAGACTGATAGGTTTCTAATGGTGTAAAAAGAGAGCAGCACATGACTCCACAGGGGGGTCTGGGCAGCCGTTGGGGAGCCGTTGGGGGGCCGTTGGGGGGCCGTTGGGGATTGCCGGGGAACCTCGTTTTTCGCAAACAGTCACACACTTAGTGCTCTTCGACCTCCCAGAACTCCATTCCCGGGCCACATTCTGAATCCCGGAGCAATTGTAGGGCACTTGTGGTCTTCGAGTTCCCAGAACTCCATTCCCGGGCCACATTCTGAATGCCCGGAGCCAACTGTAGGCCACTTCGTGGTCTTCGAGTTCCCAGAACTCCATTCCCGGGCCACATTTTGGATGCCCGGAGCCAACTGTAGGCCACTTCGTGCTCTTCGACTTCCCAGAACTCCATTCCCGGGCCCCATTTTGGATGCCCGGAGCCAACTGTAGGCCACTTCGTGCTCTTCGAGTTCCCAGAACTCCATTCCCGGGCCACATTTTGGATGCCCGGAGCCAACTGTAGGCCACTTCGTGCTCTTGGACTTCCCAGAACTCCATTCCTGGGTATGATTTTGAATGCCCGGAGGCAGGCTGAGGGCGAGGCTGAGGCAGGCTGAGGCTGATGCAGGCTGAGGGTGAGGCTGAGGCAGGCTGAGGCCGAGGCTGAAGGCAGACTGAGGCTGAGGCTGAAGCAGGCTGAGGCTGAGGCTGAGGCAGGCTGAGGCTGAGGCTGAGGCAGGCTGATGCTGAGGCAGGCTGAGGCTGAGGCTGAGGCTGATGCAGGCTGAGGCTGACGCAGGCTGAGGCTGAGGCCGAGGCCGACGGCAGACTGAGGCTGAGGCTGAAGCAGGCTGAGGCTGAGGCAGAGGCAGGCTGAGGCTGAGGCTGAGGCAGGCTGATGCTGAGGCAGGCTGAGGCTGAGGCTGAGGCTGATGCAGGCTGAGGCAGAGGCAGGCTGAGACTGAAGCCGAGGCTGAAGGCAGTTTGAGGCTGAGGCTGAGGCAGAGGCAGGCTGAGGCTGCGGCTGAGGCAGGCTGATGCTGAGGCAGGCTGAGGCTGAGGCTGAGGCTGATGCAGGCCGAGGCTGAGGCAGCCTGAGGCTGAGGCCGAGGCTGAAGGCAGACTGAGGCTGAGGCTGAAGCAGGCTGAGGCTGAGGTTGAGGCAGGCTGAGGCTGAGGCTGAGGCAGGCTGATGCTGAGCCAGGCTGAGGCTGAGGCTGAGGCTCATGCAGGCTGAAGCTGAGGCCGAGGCCGAGGCCGAGGCTGAAGGCAGACTGATGCTGAGGCTGAAGCAGGCTGAGGCTGAGGCTGAGGCAGGCTGAGGCTGAGGCTGAGGCAGGCTGATGCTGAGACAGGCTGAGGCTGAGGCTGAGGCTGATGCAGGCTGAGGCTGTGGCAGGCTGAGGCTGAGGCCGAGGCTGAAGGCAGACTGGGGCTGAGGCTGAAGCAGGCTGAGGCTGAGGCTGAGGCAGGCTGAGGCTGAGGCTGAGGCAGGCTGATGCTGAGGCAGGCTGAGGCTGAGGCTGAGGCTGATGCAGGCTGAGGCTGATGCAGGCTGAGGGTGAGGCCGAGGCTGAAGGCAGATTGAGGCTGAGGCTGAAGCAGGCTGAGGCTGAGGCAGAGGCAGGCTGAGGCTGAGGCTGAGGCAGGCTCAGGCTGAGGCAGGCTGAGGCTGAGGCCGAGGCTGAAGGCAGACTGCGGCTGAGGCTGAAGCAGGCTGACGCTGAGGCTGAGGCAGGCTGAGGCTGAGGCTGAGGCAGGCTGATGCTAAGCCAGGCTGAGGCTGAGGCTGAGGCTCATGCAGGCTGAGGCCGAGGCCGAGGCCGAGGCTGAAGGCAGACTGATGCTGAGGCTGAAGCAGGCTGAGGCTGAGGCTGAGGCAGGCTGAGGCTGAGGCTGAGGCAGGCTGAGGCTGAGGCTGAGGCTGATGCAGGCTGAGGCTGAGGCAGGCCGAGGCTGAGCCCGAGGCTGAAGGCAGACTGAGGCTGAGGCTGAAGCAGGCTGAGGCTGAGGCTAAGGCTGAGGCTGAGGCTGAGGCTGAGGCTGAGGCTGAGGCTGAGGCTGGCTGATGCTGAGGCAGGCTGAGGCTGAGGCTGAGGCAGGCTCAGGCTGAGGCAGGCTGAGGCTGAGGCCGAGGCTGCAGGCAGACTGAGGCTGATGCAGGAGCAGGCTGAGGCTGAGGCTGAGGCAGGCTGAAGCTGAGGCTGAGGCTGAGGCTGAGGCAGGCTGAGGCTGAGGCTGAGGCTAATGCAGGCCACTGCGACTGTCATCGCGAATGCGACTACGACTGCGAGAACAGCAGAACTCTACAACTGGATTCTCACCTGAATCTTAAGGGGGATGCTTCCAGATATGCTCCTACACATCGCTGTTAGGTTGCTTTGCCGGGATAATTTTTTATAAGGAGAAGGGATGGAGGAGGAGGAGGAGGATCGAGGATCGAGGATCGAGGATCGAGGATCGAGGAGGAGGAGGAGGAGGAGGAGGAGGAGGAGGAGGAGGAGGAGGATCGAGCAGGAGCAGCAGGAGGAGGAGGAGGAGGAGGAGGAGGAGGAGGACGCAGCGTCGGCGCACCATGCACCCCACGCGGCGCTGGCCAGACCTCCCCCGCCCCAGGACTTCAAGATCATGCAGCTGCGCCTCGGCAAGCCGCAGGATCGGGCCTCCGCCGCTCCCGGGCTGTAGGGTTCTGCTTGGGGAACGTTGGGCGTTGACGGGAGGAGGAGGAGGAGGAGGAGGAGGAGGAGGAGGAGGAGGCGGTAAGGCTCTGCGTAGCTTGGGGCAGACAGGGCGCGCGCGCAGCACGGGGAGTGTCACGTGTGAGCTATTTTGGGTGTACCGGTCCATCCGCGTTTTCAAGTGTACACGGGGAGTGTCCACCAGTTTCGTCTTTGGGCAGGCGCGCACGCACGCGTGCGAGCCGTGTTGCATTTGTTCATGATTGTGCGCAGGAGCCGTGGCCAGGCTCAGGCCCAGCGGTGCTGAAGGCCCGATGTAGGGCCGCATGTCGACAGGTCTGGCCCGACTCCGCAAGAAAGGCGTCCTTCGATTATCGCCGGTTCTACCGAAAGGAGAATATCCCATCTCAATCCGGACTTAGTTATAGCCGACGGGGAGGTGAGGGTTCAGCACACCATTTTCTTCATAGACTCGTTCTTCCTGATTGGCCTTGGACATTCTGTGGGAGTGGTGCGCCTACATATTACACGTTCCTTTTTTTGCAACACGGTCTATGACGCATCTGGGATCTGATTGTGTCCGTTGGCCTGCCCCCACTGGTCAACAGTCACTTGCGGCAGCGAAGCTCATTACACCTATCCGTCCCCTCCTTCACTATGACTTGGGTCTGGCCGATCTGTTTGTCATTGAGGACTTCGTATGGAACCATTGCTTTCGGCAGACAGCCCTCATCGAATTGACATTGGTGGCAAAGGTTCTCTTGGACAGTATCTTCCCTCTTGGAGGGCCTGTTCGTTTCCGGTCTTGCAGCGCAATGATACTCGCGCATGTGCTCGCTGCTCTTGGGGTTGCGCGCATACGGAGGGCGACAATGTCTCGAGCTGTTCCCGGGTGGGCGAAAGATGTTCTCAGATTCTTACCTCCTGGGTGGCTCAGCAATATCCAGAATCCAGGGGCTCCGCTGATCCAGTACATCCGTTCTATCGCCAACGGCCACCTCCCGGACACGCCTTCCGCTTCTGGGCCACACGGTGCACAATCCGTGGTATACGCTCTGTTTTCTCATTCTGGCGTCTACGTGGGAAAGAGCAACATTCAGCGTACTCATGGCGTTGGCTATGCTGCCAGGGTCTTTGAGCACATGAAGGGCATCTTGGACCTCCGGCACAAAGAAAGTGGCAAGCTACGGTACAAGATGATGCGGAAAAGCTTGGGTTCCGTTTGCATGCTTCCTGTGGTCGGCGTTGAGACGGAATCCCGAGCTCTAGCTTTGGAGTCGTGTGCAATCAAGATCGGCCGCCCCAAGTGCAACGCAGAGGAGCTGAAGCCGTCCACCAGTAAACTCAGGTCTTCGCGCTCTTCCTCGCGGAGCCGACCTTCGTCGTGGCGCCGGGAGCGGAGACGAATACCATATTCTATTTGGGCTAGCCCTGTAATTTCGAAAGCTGTGCGTCGGGTCGAACAGGATGCAACTGTATTACATGGTGCTCGAGGGTTGGATTTACGCTTCAAGGATCTATACACTTTGCACCTACAGGAGTCTTTCGGCATGTCGGGGGAGTACGGCCCACTATGGATATTTGACGCTACCCGTCTAAATTTGTTTTTGAGTTACGCTGCGAGTTGGAAGCCGTCGATCGTTCTACCTTGGGCATGGGGCCGGTACCGCTTGGCTGCGTTCCTATACCGTGCAGCTGAATTTCGTGACAACATACGCCCGACCAGGGCAAGGAAGATTGCCATGAACAAGACTTTACGCCACCTGCTCGCCCAAGTTCGCTGCCCATTATCGGTTCCACCTTTTCGTCTACCAGGGTCATGCGCCGGCGCAGGGGTACAGAAGGAAGTTCGCCGTACTGTCTTCCAGGCAATCTCCAGGATCCGGTTTTCCCCGTTGAGGCTGTGGCTGGCGAGGTATGTCCAGTTCGTCTTCAAGCGGGCGCCCCGCTGGAAGAACAAGGTCGATGCCAACAGGAGGTTCCGGGAGGCACGCTACTCGATACCACCAGCGATCGCACCTGGCGTTCTTCCGTGTCCGATCCACTTTCAAGCATTACATGGTGAGTGGAGGTTACCAGTGTGGCCAACCCCAGCTTCTATTTCAAAGGAGTTGGGGCGTTCTTGGACGTTTTGGGGTCGAGCAGTTCGTCTTCCTTCTAGTCTCCGTCATTCGGTGCGCGACACACTCGGACATGCTGGTGTTGTTGGCCTTCCTGTGCAACCTCTTCAGTGGCGCAAGTTCGAAGTTCACCTTCGCGAGCAGTTGTACCGGGTCCGCGGGCAGTCCATTGTAGGCGACGACAAATTTCCCAACCGGGTTTGGGCAGGCCCGATGGACGAATTGGCGCCATATTTTTTAGCTTCGCTCAACTCTGACCCCTCGTGGCATCATCGTCCTGAGCTTGATTATGGGGATTGCGCAGCGTGGCAGATTGCACAGGCACGTCTTGGTGTCCCCAGGTTCTTGCAGGCTTCCATGAGCCGTTCTACGAGCGCGGCCCAACCAGCCCATGCCTTCCCCCTCGTCAAGAGCAAGTGCTTCCAATGTAATGGGGTGCGGTCTTGTGTCAAAGACGGCCACAGCTGCTGGCGGCGAGTCGTAGATTCCAGTTGCGCGTTTGGCAGAGCTGCGTGGAAAGTTGTTGGCAGGGGCCTGCGGGGTGTTGCGCGTCGGTGCACGCTCTCCGATGAAGTTTGGGGCATGCGGGATGTACGGAAGGATTTGGACACGATGCTCAGTCGTTTGTCATCGCCACGTACTTCGTCGTGCCGCCGTTGTTCCTCGCCGTTGGATGGTACCCTCCAGTGCGTCGTCGCTGACGCGGACCAGGCGTTTGAAGCTTGCCGAGCGGACCGCGTGTTGGAGGATTGGGATTATATATCTTCGCTATATGTTCAACGGTTTCGCACGTCCTCCATTCTTGTACGCAAGGGCACACGGGATGCATCCCGACCTAACACTTCTGGATCGTACGGCCGGGGTTGGCGCTGCTTGAGCGTACGAGATCTCAAGAAAGGTTTGGCGGCATACACGCTGGAGACTCTCGTGGTGGCGGCTGGCCAGATCTTCAGCCTGGATGGTATCTCAATTGGTGGGATCATGTCTGCGGTGTGCGTGTCCATCGTGCTCGGCGCCCAGGAAGCCAGGTGGAAAGACAATTCAGACGGACGCCGGAATGCAGGTTTTCATTTTGGTTCTGATCTTCTGGAGACGGTCATTGGCAAGCTGCGGTACGTTGACGACATTTTGGCGTGCTCCCGATGCGTATGCCGCCGCTGCTTGTTCGATTTCTTGCAGTGCGCTTATGATGTCAGGCTGAGTTCGATTACTGATCTGGATCCCGCAGGGCCATGGTCTGGTGTATGGCTTGATCTTGGCATTCACGTTTCGGGGCAAGATCTCACCGTCATCCCAAAGAATGAAAACAGAGCGTGGTTGCAAGGGCGTGGACCTCGCGGCCGGCCCGCACTTCTGTCCTGGCCTGGTGCCCCTGTTGGGGGATTCGGGGTCCTCCGGGCCACGATCATGCAGAAAATCACGAGAAGCCGGGAGCTCCAGGTTCCTGGGGACGTGGCTGTTCTATGGGTTATGGAGATATTGTTTGAGTTGTTCCTCTTGTCTTACCCAGTGTCGCTTCTCCGTGCTCTTGTCCACAGTATTCCTCCTTGCCCTGTGGCTCGAGGTGTCCGGCTCGGTTTCCGCGTCTTCCATTCGGCCATGGGGGCGACCGACCGACAGGGGAGCGGGCGCCAGAACCACCGCGGTGACCGCCGCGATGATCGTTACCGGCAGGATCGCGAGAAGCAGTACGACGGGTACGACAATCGCCGGGTGGACGCCGGCGTGTCGCCACTTCGGGGGTATACTTCCAATTTTCCTCAGAAGCACTATGGATACTATTCTTGGGGTAGCCGCCGCGGCCGCGATGATTACCATGATCGTGGAGATTACGGCGGACGGTACTACAATCGCGGTCCTTACGATGGATCGCCACCCCCTCGACATTCACGTTCAGAGGAGTCCCGCGACCAGTGGGAGGTCGAGCAAGCCAAGGCCTTGCTGTACGAGAAGGACCCAGCATACCGCGCAGCAGAGGATGCACGTCGCCAGCAGGTCGAAGAGGACAAGTGGCGCAAGCAGGGCGAGTTCTTCTTGAAGGCATTGGACACCAAGCTGGAGAAGATCATCGACAAGGCCGGTACGGGCTCGGGCAACGAGGCTAAGGGCGCGGACGGCGCCGCAGGGTCGGCCGGTGCTGCCGCCGACGGGACCGAGCTCACCGCTGTGCAGAAGATGTGGTTGGAGGCGGAGCTTTAACATAAGGTGAAGATGGCGGACAAGAAGGTGGCCACGGCGCAGAGCACTATTGTCGAGAAGATGGCCGAGCCTGCCTTCGCAAAGTTGGTCTCCGCATTCTATGGCAAGCACATGGCGGACGAATCGATCCCTCGCACCCGCGAGGCTCGCGTCAAGAAGCTTCTCGAGCATGTCGAACCCCAGTGAGTTTGTCATCGTACCGCTGATTTCCCAGGTGGGCTTCCAGGTATTCCTCTCCTCTGGTTGGTGGTGGCTTTCTTCGTGGGAGTCGTGTACGCTAGCATGTACCCCGCGGAATGGGTTCAAATGCATCCACACGTACGGGCCCTCAGGAGCTATTTCGACGCGTGGCTGTACCCCCAGGCGTACACAGATGTTCACACCTTCGGTCTGGCAGCGGCTCGGGCAGCATCGTCTGTGATATCATCTTTCTTCACTGCCGAGGGCGCTCCGCTGGTTCTCCCACCGATCTTGTGGGGGCTGGCGAGACGCCGCCAGAGAGCGATTGCCATGTAGAACTCGCCCGGGGGCAGGTGCTTGTGAAGTGCATGGGGATTGCCCGAAACCGGGAGCCTGCATTGATTCCCACCTCTCTTCGGGAAGTTGCGGTTCGAGGCGCAACTCTTGCATGCTGATGCGGTAAGGCTCTGCGTAGCTTGGGGCAGACAGGGCGCGCGCGCGCAGCACGGGGATCCATCCGCGTTTTCAAGTGTACACGGGGAGTGTCAACCAATTTCGTCTTTGGGCAGGCGCGCACGCACGCGTGCGAGCAGTGTTGCATTTGTTCATGATTGTGTGCAGGAGCCGTGGCCAGGCTCAGGCCCAGCGGTGCTGAAGGCCCGATGTAGGGCCGCATGTCGACAGGTCTGGCCCGACTCCGCAAGAAAGGCGTCCTTCGATTATCGCCGGTTCTACCGAAAGGAGGAGGAGGAGGAGGAGGAGGAGGAGGAGGAGGAGGAGGGAAGAGGAGAGGAGGAGTGAGGAGGAGGAGGAGGAGGATGAGGAGGAGGAGGAGGGAGGAGGCGGAGGAGAGGAGGAAGAGGGGGAAAGGGGATGGAGGGTGGAGGGGGAGGGGGGAGGGGGAGGGGGTCAAGGGGGAGGGGGAAAGGGTGGAGGGTGAGGAGAAAGGGGAGAGGGGGGAAGGGGAGGAGAAGGGAGGGGGTAAGGGGTGAGGGGGGGGAAGTGGGGGGAAGGGGGGGGAGGGAGGGAGGAGGGGAGGGGGAGGAGGAGGAGGCGGCACGAGGGAGGCCAGGAAGGGAAAAGAGTCACACAGTCACAAATAGTCGTTGACATCCCATGGAAATATGTGGGAAAACACTGGAAGTGTGGGGGGGGGGGGGGGAAGGTGACGATCCAGAAACTATGGGGGAACCAGGGGCTTGTGTAGGTTTATTTAATCGCTTCGCTCATTCCGCCGGCCCATATTGTCGCACCGTTGTGGGCTAGCCGAGTTTTGGGGGCCGTTTTGGGGCCTCTTGGGGCCTCTTTTGGGCCTCTTGGGCGCCTCTTGGGGCGTCTTGGGGGCCTCTTGGGGGCCTCTTGGGGCCTTTTTTTTTTTTTTGTTTTGGGGCCTCCTGGGCGCCGTCTGGGTCGAGGGGCTGATTTTTTTTCAGTTCTCGGTTCCCCTCTTGAGCCCCTCTTTGGGTCCCGTCTTGGGGCCTATTGGTACCGTCTTGTTGGCGGCACTTGGGCCTCTTGGGGCCCCTCCTGGAGCCGTTCCGGGCCGGTCCTTGGGAGCCTCGTGGGCCGTCCGTGGAGCGTCTTTGGGGGGCCTCTTGGGCCGTCTTGGAGCGTCCGGAAGCCGAAAAAAGCCAGAACGCAAAAAACATCGAAAAAACAATGAAAATCAACGATTTTGGCCTCTTGGGGCCCTCTTCGGAGGCCTCTTGGAAGGCCCTTGGGGCGTCTTGGAGGCCTCTTGGGCTGTCTTGGGGCCCTGTTGGGCGTCTTCGGGCGATCTTTGGCCGTCTCGGGGCCCTCTTGGACCGTCTTGGAGGCTTTCTGGGGACCTCTTGGCCCGTCCTGGGGCCCTGTAACAGAACTCCGGCATCTCTGGCCCGACCTTGCCGGGACCTTGCCGGGGACTTGCCGGGACCTTGCGGGGGTAGTTTTCGTCCGGGGACCCCCAGGGGCCGCCCCGCGCGCGCGAACTAGAAATATTGTTAACCAGGTACCGGAGATCTTAGCACGCCCTGGCCCGTTGGGCCGGCGAATTTGTGTGCCCCTGGGCCCCTGCAGGAAAGGGTTCCTGGAGGTTCCCCGTCCTGGACGGAAGGCTGCTCCTGAGGGGACTCTCCCTCTTTGCCAGGTTGAGAGAAGTGCCCTCGGCTCGAGGTGCTGCTCACGTTTCCGCCCATCTCGTGGCCCCTGGAGGCCCTTCCAGGCCTCTTGCGCGGCGCCGTCTGGAGGCCATGGAGAACTTGGTCGCCAGTAAGCCCAGGGCACCCCTGGCATCACCCGGGACAGACGGCGGCGCGCAGAATGGGAGGCGACCGAGGTGGTGGCCTTCTTAGATCGAAGAACAAAAACGCCACAAACACAATTTTTTGGCGCTCCGCGCGGGTTTCGTTGATATGCGCTGGGCCCCCCCCCAGCGGCGCCTCTGGCGCCGCCCCTGGCGCGGTCCGGCGCAGATCCAAGAAATCCGCGCGGAGCGCCAAAAGTTGACGGGTATGCCGTCTTTTTTTCTTTTTCTGCCCCTGGCATCACCCAGGATGGACGGCGGCGCGCAGAAGGGGAGGCGACCGGGGGGGGCCTTCTTAGAAACCAGGGTGTTCTTTGGAGGGGACTGGGGGGATTTTGCATGCAGTCAACCCGCATACTAAGGATGGGCAACCTTCCCAAGGGTACCCTTGCATCCTTGCCTCCCCGGTCCATCCTTCGCCACTTTCGTTGGCCGCGCCCCGCTCGAAAAGCTTCGAAATGGGCGTACAAGGCCCTTGCATCCTTATCGCGCGTCCTTACTATACGGGTTGACTGTAGGGAGGGCACGAGGCGTCTCCAGAGTCCCCCCTTCCTCCGGCCTGTGCTTCACCTGTGGGGATGCACACTGCATGTTGCAGGCGGGCCTGTAATGACACTTCGCACCAGGGCGGTCCGGAAGGTTCTCGAAACGTTTTGGAGCGCTCTGGAATGGCCGCGGCGCCCGATGTATCGTCCAGACCCGCCAGGTCTCCGAGATTCCCGATCTAGTCTCGACTAGGTGTTGCTCTCATCCTGGCTTCGAGTCAGACCTGTTGACAGGGTGGCATGGATTGCGCTTCTGGTCCTCCACCAGTTCTTCATTCTGCTGTCCTCATGCTTCCTTGGATTTCCATTATTCCTGTCGCATTCCACGACGGGCTGCTACATTATGTTCTGAGAGTCCAAGGATTTGTGAGTTGCTGCGAGTTCGCTACCAGTTCGTATAGTGCCACCTCGATGGGAGCTGCGTTTACCCGCACAGAACGCTGAATACCATGAATTTGCATCTGTCGAGCTATCGGTAATTGAATTCGAGTGCGTGACCAGTGTGGTTGCTGCTGCTGCTGCTGTTGCTGTTGCTGTTGCTGTTGCTGTTGTTGTTGTTGTTGTTGTTGTTGGTGGTGGTGGTGGTGGTGGTGGTGGTGTTGTTGGTGTTGCTGCTGATGTTGTTGCTGTTGTGGTTGTTGTTGTTGCTGTTGTTGTTGCTTATGTTGTTGTTGTTGTTGTTGTTGTTGCTGTTGCTGTTGCTGTTGCTGTTGTTGTTGCTGTTGCTGTTGCTGTTGCTGTTGTTGTTGTTGTTGTTGTTGTTGTTGTTGTTGTTATTATTGTTGTCGTTGTCGTTGTCGTTGTCGTTGTCGTCGTCGTTGCCGTTGTCGTCGTCGTTGTTGTTGCTGTCTCACTTGTGGTCGCAAACAAATAACTGGCGACTGCAGAGGTTGAGTACCAGGCCACCTTGAAGAACCCGACCAAGGCAGCACGCTTGCAGCACGTCCTCTTCATTGCTCTGCGCCTCTGCGCCAAGACGCCTGCCGACGAGCGTGAGATCTGAGGGGCTTCGCCCCCCCTGCCGCCTGCCGCCCAGGCGGCGCCGTCTTGTGGCCATCCTGGAGCACTTTTGGGATCACCATTGGGAAAGGTTGGGGCTGCCTTGAGGCCCCAGGGGTCCATCTTGGGGGCCATCGATGATCGAAGAGCGAGGATCGAGGATCGAGATTGGAGGGCAAAGTCTAACTGCCCTTAGAAGACCAACATCTGGGCTCGCGGGTGGTTTGGGCAGCACGTTATGGCATGTGTAGCCTTTGGGGGTCGCACTGGGGCTGGCCTTGTGCCATCTGGGGAGGCTGTGGAGACAGTCTTGCAGCGATCTTGGGACATCTCGGACGCAACACATGGTATGGGCAAAGCACGCTGAAACAGCACGTGCGTTATTGCTTGTTTTTGCCCCCTCAGGAGATCTCGGAGCTCTCCTGGGTCATCTCAAAACCACATTGGGGGCATCTTGGACTCTCAAGACCCTCATTCAGGGCCTACGGAGCTGTCCTTGAGGCCCAAGCTGGCCGTGCGGTGCCGTCCTGATGGAAAACCTTGCGGCAACCTCGAGCGACCAGGAGGTCGAGGCTCCTCCCCCTCCGGTGGCCATTACGGTGTCCCCAGTATTCTGCACAAAGAAAACGGGACTTGATGGGGTCAGTGGCAAGATCCAGAAAACCGCAGTCAACACGGAGAACACAATACGGCAGGCTGAGTGGCAGAGATGTTTACCGTCTTGCGCCCCCAAGGGCGGCGGGATCCCCAGATCAGTTGCTCATCGGACTTGTATCTTAGTGGGCGCTTATGTACAGTGATAGTGCATGTTTACGCGAGGGGGTGTGCTTGAACATGCGGACGCGTGCGCGCACATGTTTGTATACATGCGTGTGCACGTGCGTGCGTGCGTGGGTGTGTGTGTGTGTGCGTGTGTGCACACACATGCCTCATCGACCACCTTTCGGGTGATGAGGAGGTTGTAGTTGTGGGGGATGGGCGCAGGTGTCGGTGTGCGATTGGCTCCGCGTCGAAGTCCGTATTTTCAATTAATTGTTGCACGATCGTTTGTATGATGTTCAATCCAAAGGCCCACGCCATTCCAGAGACCCCCGAGAAGTGATATGCGGATTCCCGCTTCGTGTGCGTTGTTTGCCGCTTCCCGCCATGGTGCCTGTTGTTGCTGACTCGTCTTCGCCTTCCTTCACGTCTGCTGCAGGGCTTCTCAGGGGGACTCTTGTCGGGGGCGGACAGAACCCCCAGCAGTGACACGTCGATTGGTGAACTGTCCGTTTTCGGCTCTCGAAAGGGCGCCGCGGCCGTTACTTTCCAGGCTTGCGCCCGCCAGGTTTGGGCCTCGGGTCGTTTTCACTAAACCACGTTTTACTAAAGGGAGGTCTGTCCATCCCCGAAGTCTTGGGGGTCCAAGGGGCGGCCTCTTGAGAATGTCTTCGAAGCTCGTGGGCGCCTTGGGGGAGCCCTCCGGGGGCTTCTCCGTGGCCTCGTGTGGGCACGCTGGGGTCTTGGCTGCCCTCTTGCGAGGGAGGGCTCCCGTGGCCCCCTGCGAGTTCCCCTTCTTCGGCCTCTATCGGGCCCCTCTTGGGTCGGGGGTGGACAGAGCTCCTACCCTGACACGTCGATCAAGGAATCGGCCGTTTTCGGTTCGCGAGGGGGCGTCGCGGCCGTCGTTTTTGCGGGTCCAGGTCCGTCGGTTTCGGTCCCAGGCCATTTTCACTAAGGGGAGGTTTGCTAACGGGAGGTTTGTCCACCGTCGATTGGCTGCCGTCTTGGCCGCCAACGGATTGACGGCATCCTCGATCAGAACATCCCGTCCGCTTCCAGTCGTCACGCTCGGAAAGCGAAGACCGCCTTCACTTTCGGAACCGGGAAAACTCGGGCGAAGAGAACTATGCACATGCACCGATCCTGGCAAGGCCCATCCTTGACCCAGGATCGGTGCATATGCCTTCCTGGCCAAGGTAGGAGGGCGTATGCACCGATCCTGGGCCTGGCCAAAATCGGTGTATGTGCATAGCTCTTTTTCCTTTAATTTTCGGAACCGGGAAAACCTCGAGCATGGTTGTCGGGTGTTTGATCCGGCGGGCCTCCTGGGTGCCTTCTCGGCCGTCCTGCTGGTCTCGGGGGGCCCTCTTGGGGTCTGGGCCGCTCGCCGAAGTCGGCCCCTGAGCCGGGAAGCCAGAGGAGCCTGGCCGCCCACCGAAGTAGCGGCCCGGGCGATGCGGCTTCGGCATGCTCAGCCGGTGCTCGGCATCGCTCGGACGTGTGCATGTCTCCATCGGCGAGGACCACCGAGGAGCATCCTTGACCATCTGGCGGAAAAGCCACGCACGAAGCCGGAAAAAGCACAGGGAATGGACGCCCGAGCGATGGCCAGAGTGCGCCTCCCCTGGTCGTCGTCGCCAGTTCGCTGCTGTCGTCCGTCGTCGTCCTCGGTGGCGTCGGCGTCGGCGTCGGCGTCGGCGCGGCGTCGGCGCGGCGTCGGCGTCGCCGCCGCCGCCGTGCGTCGTCGAGCCGTCGCAGCGGGAGGCGTCGCCGCCGCCGCCGCGGTGCGTCGTCGAGGCGTCGCCGCCGCCGCCACCGTGCGTCGTCGAGCCGTGCGGCCTTCCTCCAGCGCAGGCCAAGGGCAGCCATGTGCCTACTGGGAAGGTGAAGATGCGCAAGGGCATCATTCACCACGGCGGCGGGGGTGCGCCAGACGCGTGGGTGACGGCTGGCCGCTTAGAGTTCGCCAGGAAGAAGAGGAAGAAGAGAGTCGAGAAGGGAAAAGGAGGAAGAAGAGAGGCGGCGGCGGCGGAGGCTAGTCCTTCTCCTGTGTCCGCATGCTCTGTGGGATTCATTGTTGGACAGAGAGAGAGGGAGAGGGAGAGAGGGAGGGAGGGAGGGAGAGGAAGAGAGAGGAATAGAGAAAGAGGAGGAAGAAAAAGGGAGGTCCGCAGATGAAGCCAGTACAGAAACAAGTTTTCCGCCGCGGGGGGCGTCCGAGGGCGGGCGGCTGGAAAAGGTCGTAACATGTCTGTGCGAAAAAAAGCAGACAGTCTGTGGGAAAAACACAGTGTCTGTGGGAAACACACACAGTCACAGTCACAGTCACAGTCACAGTCACAGTCACAGTCACAGTCACAGTCACAGTCACAGTCACAGTCACAGTCACAGTCACAGTCACAGTGTGTGTGTGTGTGTGTTTTTTCCCACAGTGTGTCTTTTTTCCCACAGACTGTGTTTTTTTTCCCACAGTGTGTTTACACTCCGTGGCGGCACGAGCGGGTGTGAATCTTACAGTTGGTTTGGTGAAATTAGCGTCCCCCGCGGCGGAACGCTTGACCCAATTGTGGAGCTCGCGCGTGGGAGAGGAGCAGTCGCTGGGTAGATTGAGCGCAGCGCTTCTAACGTAACACGCCCCCATCCTAGTTTCACCAGCGAAGCCCGAAAGCACGAGAAGGCAGCAATCACAACAATCATAGTTCTTCAGAGACCCGAATCATCAGGGGTAACTCGGGTCAGGGCTAACTCGGGTTCGTTTTTCGGGAATCCGAACCCGAGCTGCCCCGGGCCCGAGTTACCCCGGATAACTCGGGCGTCCAGAGCCCCGAATCATCAGGGATAATTCGGGTCAGGGCTAACTCGGGTTCGTTTTTCGGGAATCCAAGCCCGAGTTGCCCCGGGCCCGAGTTACCCCCGGATAACTCGGGCGTCCAAGTTCTGACGTCGAAGCCGCGGTCCGCCCGGCCACCCCGCCAAACCGCCAACCCGGTCAAACTGGTCCAAATTTGGCAAATTTGGCAGTTTAGGCATTCTGGTCAAACCGGTCAAACTAGGTGGCCAGGCAAATTGGACATGCCAGGCAACCAGGCAAGTTGGTCAAGCCACGCAAATCGGTCATCCAGCCATCCGGCCACCGGAACTTCAGTGGCGGATTCCTTTTTGGGAAGCGGGTAGAATGGGGGAGGGCTTTCGTTTTCGAAGGGAGAAAGAGAGAGAGTAATGATGATGTTTTGTCTGGGGTGGGAGGGGGCCTGGTTTCGGACCTTCCCTCCAGGCATTTTTCAGCAAAGCGTCCGTCAAACGCGCTCCCTCGCCCTTGCGCTGATGATACGCACAGATCTAGAATTGTTTGCAGCTCCTTACCCCGGTTCGCTTCCACATCCTTCATCGTGTATCCTATTTTCGTCTTGCTCATCCTCCTCGTCCTCATCCCTCCTCTTCCCTCTTTCCTCCCCTGCCCTTCCTCCCTCCTTCATCTCTCCCTGTGTCCTATTCCTTCGTCGTATTCTTCTTTCCATCCTCCCGCACTGGCCCTCCCCCGCTTGGACATCCCCATCGGCCTCATCATCCGTGCTCCTTGACTCCAGGTTTGTTTTGCTCTCGTGCTTCGTTCTTCTCTCATTGTCCCATCCTTCCTCCTCTCTTCTCTCTCCGCCTAGCCGCACCCTTTTCACAATCCATCCCCTCGTCCCCCCCTCCTCCCTCGTCGCCCTCCCCATTTTTCCCCTCTCGCCCTACAGACTTTCTTTGCCCCATACACCCACCCTTACCGCACACCTATCCAAACCTCCTCTGTCTCTCCCTTTCGCCCCCTTCCTCAATGTCCTGCACCTCATCATGCCCGTCGTCCTCTGCCGCGTCATCCCCATCATATCATCGTCCCTCTCCTGCCCCATCTTTCTCCCCATCCGACTCACGGTTCCTACCCATCCTTCTCATCCCCCCTCTTCCCGCTCCATCTCTTGCTCCTTCCTTTTCTTTCCCCCCCTCGCCCACTTTGGCTCAAGCGGCTGCCCCCCTCCCGCTGCCTCCTCCCCCGCGCCCTCCGCCTCCCTGCCCCCCATGCCCTTAGTAGTTAGTCTCCCCGTGCAGCAATGAGAGGGGGTTTCGCACTTGATGCCGATATTCAGCGGCTCATGCGCTGGACTATCAGCACCTTCTATTCCAACAAGGGTTTCTTCCTGAGCGAGCTCAGCCCCAATGCGTCCAGCGCCCTGGACAAGATCTGGTACGAGCCCATGTCCAACCCAGACCAGATCGTGGCACAGCTGAACCAAATGAAGACCGTCCCCAACAAGACCAATCCACTACATCTTGCGATCGAGGGTTCTGGAATCGGCATGGTCAATATCGAGTGGGTCAACGGCACCATCACCAAGTCCGGCATCAAGACCATATGGAGGCAAGTGTTACTGGCAGTGGCACTTCCAAGACAGGGTAGTTCTGGGTTGGCTTCTGTCCCGCGCATTTCTTTTCGAATCGATTGAACTCTGGGCCTCCTCTCCCTCCTTTTCCTCTTGTTCCGGCGATTCCGATGTTTTCGGGCCCGATTGATTCGAGTTGAACGCTGTTTTTCATTGTTCATTTTTCCTGGCCAATGCGCCCTCTTGAATTCATCCCCATCGCCTTCATCTGTGGAGCGAGAGTGGCCGATCCCAGTAGCTGACGCCCAATTCTAGGGGAGCGACTGTGGTCGGCGTTCAGACTTACACTCTTGGCGCTGGATGCTTCGGGGGCAGCCTCCTAGAGCCACTGCCCCCGTTCCTGCATCAAGCTTGCTTCTTCCAGCATTGCCATAGCAGTTTGAGCAGATGACTTCCGCTCTGGGATGCGGAATTCTTTTGCGGAAAAAAAGATTTCCGCTCTGAACTAAAAAAAAATGGCCGGAACTCGAATTTACGCGGGCGCGTGACATGCTCGATTGCCCGCTCTGCTTCTTTGGGCCTGATGCCGCTTGGCTCAAGCCCGGCCAGGCATTGTGCCCGTGTTAGACCCGCGGTCACACCGTGTTAGTCCACGTGCAAATTCATCGCTTCACGTACATACCTATGTTTCCATAGTTTCCTCCTCCTCCTCCTTCTCCTCCTCCTCCTCCTCCTCCCCCTCCCCCTCCCCCTCGCTTGACCTTGCCTCTTCGGAGGCAGGTCACTGTCATAGTCCTAGTCCTCCTCCTCATAGTCAAAATCCTCATAGTCCTCCTCCTCCACCTCCTCCTCGTCCTCCTCCTCCCTCCTCCCTCCTCCTCGTCTTCTCCTCCTCGTTCCAGATTTGCCCTGCCCGTGCCCCCATCTCCCCCCTTTTCCCTGCTTCTTCCCTGCGCCGTACCCTTTCCCCTGATCCCTGACCACGCCGCCCGCGTTCCGCGTCCAGGACCCTCTCTGGTTCTCGCCCGTTCCCCCCCTCTCCTTCTCCTGCCCCCCTCCTCTCGCCCTTCCCCGTGGCCCTGCCCCGCCCCCCCTCGCCCCGATGTCCCGGCCGGGTCCCTCTCCGCCCCTCCCTGCGCCTTCCCGTCGCCCCTCCTGGCCCTGCCCTTCCTGGCCCTGCCCCTCCTGGCCCTGCCCCTCCCCTCCCCTCCTGGCCCTGCCCCTCTCCTCCCCCCCTCCCTGCACCTTCCCGCCGCCGCGCTCGTCTCCCGAGCTCCTCGTCCAGAGGTGGAGATCGTCCCCGGGGCCCGCGACTCGGGCGTCGAGGTGGAGGTCGTCGGGCAGGGGGCCTGCCAGGCCGGCCGCGGGGCGGGCGGGCGGGCGGGGGGAGGGAACGTCATGTCGGCGGGCTGCCAGAGGTGTGCACTGGCCCGTGATCCTCGTGAGCCCCTGGGGCCCTCTGCACCTCGCTGGGGGCGCTCTCCGGGTCATCTGGGGCTCTCCTGGAAACGCGGGGGCCGCATCGGGCAGGACGACTCAAGTGAAGCAAGGGGTACAGTGGAGCCCCAGGCCAAGAAGCACCCTGCTTGCCTCCAGGGTTTCGATGGTTTTGCAATGGGAAGTACGTCGTTCCCGCACCAAAAAACAGCGGACGTCCTGGGGTCTCACGGTCGGGTTTCTTGTGGAAGTTTTGTTGTGGTCGAGCCCCTACTGCATCAGACCCGAAGTCTCCCCGGTGCATCAGACCCGAAGTCTCCACGGTGCTTGCTACCCGTAGTCTCCCCGGTGTTACGATGATTTCAGCCAGTTGTTTCCCTCCGAGATGGCCCCTTGTTGGCGGGGAGCGCCCTGTGCAGCCTGGGGGCGGCCTCCAACGGAGGGGTGTGCAATAGGCGCCGCAGGCGCGGAGAGGGGAGGAGGAGGGAGGAGGAGGAGGAGGAGGAGGAGCAGGAGGAGGA